ATATAATTCAATGGTTATCCGGAAAAAACATTTCTTTTGAAACAAATATGGTGAAAAAGGAACTTTTGACACTTGTCAATCTTAATAAAGATCAGAGGAAATATGTTATCGATGAAATGGCAACAAATCGCCAAATAACGGTACTACGGTTACCACCTTATCACTGTGAACTTAACCCAATCGAATTAGTCTGGGCGCAGGTAATTGGAGATGTAGCGCGAAATAATACGACGTTTAAATTAATTTTGTGAAAATTTTGTTAAAAAGTTCCTTGGAACGAGTAACTGCAGATAACTGGCAAAGATGTATACATCATGTACAAAAAGAAGAGGAGAAAATGTGGGAACTCGATAATTTAATTGACGTTACTGTGGAACCTATCGTTATCAATCTAGGAGACGAAGATAATTCATCAAAATATTAAGAGGATGAATTTTAATATATTATACATTTATACAACACTACATTTACTCACCATAATTTGAATTTTCAAAATACATATATTTTTGTGTGGAATAAAGGTCTATTCATTAAATTTAAATAAATATTTTGATAATAATATTGAATAATTTTATTTGAATTACTAAAAACCCTCTTAACCCGGTTATGATGCTTAAAGTAGCCTCATGTTTTGAAATGCTGTTTGTTTACTTATAAGAGAAATGGACTGAGAAATTGAAGCGGCATAGACAAAAACGGATTGTCGGGGATTAAATTTTAGCTACCTGCTGCAATTTAGTACAGTCCGATCGCACAAAGTTTTGTTAAAAGTACACCGAAAATGCATAATATAAAAATATTGAATATAAGCACCAGTACTACATTTATTTACGATTTGCATACATAATGAGCTTTTATTACTTTCTTTCATTTCTAAACTTATATGTTATTTAATTACGTGTAACCCATTCAACCACTCCACTGAGGTTTAGGTATTTTTATTTGATATTACCAACCGTGAATTGTTGGTTGCCTATGCTTGACGGTCACGTGACTTGCAAACATTTATGAAGGCTCCGTATTATATATACTGGTATTTCATTTTGCATATAATGGGTAGAAAAACTGGCATTTCCAAATCAAGATGGAAGACTTTTAGTCAATCGAAATTTCTGGAATGAATGTCAAAATGGCAGTCTTCACATTCGTAGCACTCATGTCCTGACAAAATATACCGCGAGCGGCAAAAGTATGGAATATTTTTATTTAAAAATCGGATGTTCGTTATTTGAAAAATCGCTCGGACCTGTCGAATTATATTTTTAGTTGCGCATCTTCTGAAGCAATTTTCATTTATACAGGGTGGCCCAAAAAAGTTATGAAATCAAGGCCAACTTTTTTAAAAGGAAACCCCACTTTTTTGTTTTTTTATTCAATTCTGCATGGAATTCTGATCATTTTTTGTTTAACATAACCTATACCTATCTTTAACTGTTTTCGAGATAATGGCGTCTGAATATAGAATATGGAAAATTTTCAAAAATTACCCTGAGATTTACCCTGCTGGTTTTAAAATGAAACCACGTTTACTTTTCCATCTTAGATTTGTGTGGTTCACAGAAAGTTGCTTCAAATCAGAAAAATCCATAAGAAATAAGTAGTTCGGTGATTTATTTTGATCATTAGGACGCAATGACTTGAATGTAAAAAATATAAGTGAGCTTTATAGGTATAATTTAATTAAAAACGCATAATTTTATTGTATACAATATGATTTTGTTAAATGTCACTATTTAAATTACGAGCCAGGTTATTTTGCAAATTTTAAGCACCGTTTCATGTTTTTTTGTAGAGAACAAAAAACTTAAAACACACGCATTGTAGTCGTCGTCAAGCTACTAAATATTAAATAGGTAACGTCAAAGTCAGTTGAAAATGTGCCTTGTTCACTATTACTATTTTTTATTATTTAGGACAGTGACAGTACTTAACTAGATGGCGCATCTAACAGAAACGCAGCGGATAGAAATTCTAATTTATTTGGGACACGGTGACAAAACCAGAACACAACAAGAAATGTGTGATATTTCAATAACAAGTATCCAAATCATCCAATCAATCAAGCCACTGTAAGCAAAATTGCCAAGAAATTTCGAGATTTTGGTCACATAAAAGATATCCCCATAACAGCTCGTATGAAAATAGACGAGGACATTAAATGAAATATCTTATTGCAGTTGCAGGAAATCCTCATAGCACGAGCAGACATATTGTTGAGGGAAATGCAATTTTCCTAAGATCAGTTTTGCGTATTTGAAGAAAGAGAAATATCACCCGTACAAAATTCATTTAGTACAAGAACTCAACGAAGATGATCCTGATCGCCGCATCCAATTTTGTGAAACCATTACAACATTATCCGACCGCAACCCACAGTTTCATCGGCAAATCCTTTTCTCAGACGAGGCAACTTTCTGTTTGAATGGTATTGTTAACCACGAAAACTGCAGGTATTGGAGTCAAACAATCCTCATTGGATGACTGAGGCACATAGTCAGTACCCACAGAAATTGAATGTGTGGACAGACATAATTAATGATCAGGTTCTTGGCCCTTTTTTCTTCGAAGAAAACCTCACGGGAGAAAGATATTTGGCCTTCCTTCAGTTTGATCTAATTCCCGCCCTCATTCAAATTTTTCCAAACGCAAATGAACCTGACATGCCAAGCGATACCTTGTATTTTCAACAGGATGGCGCGCCACCTCATTTTGCTCGGCAAGTCCGAGGTTATTTAGACGAATTTTTTCCTGGGCGTAGGACTGGAAGACGGGGACCAATAGAGTGACCTCCGAGATCACCCGATCTCACTCCTTTGGATTACTTCTTATGGGGTTATTTAAAATCCAAAGTTTATGTAAATCCACCGCAAAACATCGAGGACTTAAAAACCCGAATCAGGCAGGAAATTAGGAATATTGACAGAAATGTACTAAATAATGTTCAAGACGAGTTTGTACATAGGCTTGGGTATTGTCAAGGAATCAATGGATGGCAATTTGAACATTTAATTTAACTCTGTTTGTTTGTATTGGTTTATAATTCTGAATTTTTTGCAAATTTTTCTTAAAGTAGCTTGAATGATTGTATGATTTGGATATTTGTTATTGAATATTTCACGTTATTCTTGCTGTGTTCTGGCTTTGTCAGTTTGTACCAAACAAATTAAAATTAAGAATTAAATTCATTGATTCATTGGCTGTAATTAAATATTTGAAACACACAAAATGTATTTAGCAGAAAGTACACCAGTTTCCACTGACTTTGACGTTACAATCCTTGCGTATCGAGAGTATTTTTTGAAAATTTTCCATATTCTATATTCAGACGCCATTATCTCGAAAACGGTTAAAGATAGGTATAGGTTATGTTACATAAAAAGTGATCAGAATTCCATGGAGAATTGAATAAAAATACAAAAAACTGGGGTTCCCATTTAAAAAAGTTGGCCTTGATTTCATAACTTTTTTTGGGCCACCCTGTATAAATGAAAATTGCTTCAGAAAATGCGCAACTAAAAATATAATTCGACGGGTTCAAGCGATTTTTCAAATAACGAACATCTGATTTTTAAATAAATATATTCCATACTTTTACCGCTCACGGTATATTTGTCTCTTTGTGCAATTATATAGAATGTTTAATTAATACTTTTCTTCGGCAGAAATTACTTCTTTGTATTAGTAGTAGAAAGACCTCATGAAACCCAAAATACCGAAAAGTTCTTATGCACATGTCAGCTTGTATGTACATGCCTATAAAACAAATACGTGTTTTTAATTAGTAATACCATTATCGGGTCTATTAAAGAAATATATAAATTACATATTATCTTATAATGTAGAAAGTTGGACCCAAGGCGTGTCTTTGTCTAACGAGTAAATTAAACGACCTTTTATATAGACTTACATAATTGCTTCATTAAGGCCCAACACCCAGCAATCAAACGATTTAACAGTTGCAAGTGAAGATATAAGAATTTCGCGGTGATTCGCGACGCCATAAACGAACACACTGTAAAGAAGTGGGCAAAATTTCTACAGCTGAGGCTGAAATTTATCGGTTATAATTTCAATTTGCGCTTTACGGCGCCGACACATATTTCGCGGCGCGATTGCTGTGAAGTTAACAGAAGTTTAACACTTTTTTACGCAATATCCTACGTGTAAGATGATAGGTTTGTCGAGAAGAGACATGGAGAGTTATCAATGGTTTTTAAGACGCAATTATTACAAAATATTTAACTTACTAACGCTAATTCCAACGTAATCTAATAGGTGCTAAATCAGGTATGTGTGGAGGCGACATCATGATTCACAGCATGATCGCTAAAGGACGTATGGAATTATTTGCTGATAATTTTCTTATTAGCTATGAACGCACTTCTTCCCTTCAGTAGAAATTTAGCAAATAATCAGTAACTGTATAGATTCTACTTGAATGTGTACCATATCTGGACAGAGTGTAGGACACATATTTCTTTAATATAATTTTAAAAAGTAATTGATATTAATGTTCAAATCAGTAGTGATCTGAATGAAGAAGAACGGTATGAAGGAATATGTTAAATTTCAATTTAACCATTTGATTTGGTGAAACTTATTGCACCTACTATAGATATTGTTACACCAGCATCTTCATTTCATTCAATATATTTAATACCAAATAATTTCATTCTAAAAAAGGTGTGTCGGTATTATGATGTAAATGAGCAATTTATTTTGCCAATTCCCGACTGTCTTAGTGGGAGTTGTTCCGTTTCTATAATTCGTTTTCCTGTAACCTATAATTAAAAACAGTTTTGTCTAACGTTTACCAAACGAAGTGGGTGTAACCCAATAAACTAAAGAAACAGCAACTTTGCTAAATCTAACGGCAATAAGAGAATGACCCTGCTTCCCTACCCTCGAACCTATTCAATAAATTAGACAGTTTGAGAAATTTAAGGAGGCAGCGGAATTAAAAGCTGTCCAAATGGACATCCTAACCCATAATTACCTACCTGAGTTCATGTTGGGCACTCCGAAAGGCGTGGCGCCCTGAAACATGGGTCCTGGACCACCAAAAGGGTTCACTAGTCCCTGATGGGACCAATTTGGATGCGCCGCTTGATATACAGCCGCTGCCAAAGCCGAGAAAGGTGTCGGTCTGATCGGACCTTGGTTCATGATCGACTCTTTGGGGAAATCTCGCTCCCGTTCCCTCTGGTGGAGGTACTCACTGTCTTTGGAAGGACCATCGTCGGATTTTTGGTCGGAATTCAAGTCCTCCACGTCCACTATCGAGTCCTCTTGATTAGAGTCGTACTCCTCGTCGGAGGAATGGTGAACGGGACTCGTGGAGGGTGCGGTGGAGGAATTGTGCGAAGTAGGAGACGCGGGTCTGGCCGGCCTGGTGTCGGCCAGGAGAGAAGCTACACTAAAACTAATGTGTCCGTTCTTGCTAGCCTGCTGGGCGTTGCTGCTAGCCTTGTCACTGATGTTTTGCATAGTTTCCCCGTTCTTAGCGTCCAAAGTCTCCAAGCTTTGCACAGTCATTATTTGAGCACTGTCTGACGGGTTCCTAAGCATATGTCAACGGTGTCAACTGGATCACTGGTAACCGCACAGTCACGGGTTCATTTTTACAACAGCCACGGTCACTGGTATGGCTTTTAGTACCATTGGTACCGACTACAACATAAAGGTGCCCAAGCTGAACTGACCGAGCGACTGACTGCAGTGGAGTTCGCGGCTGCTCGCGGTGGGCGTGGCTTGGAGGGGCGGAGCCTGAAGCTCCGCCCGGTGTTTAAGCACATTATTACACAAATCGGCCAATAAGCTCGAGTTGTCACTAACTGCTTCACAGTCTGCCAGCGCGGTGTTCCCGATGTCACTGCGCCTCCAGCATGATTGCGGGCAGTATTTGAATGGACGTGTGCCGCTACCTTTATTTCGTTTTCTGGATTTTTGTTATTATTATAACTGCAGCTTTGAGAGCTTACACTTGTTTATGGTCGTTTAAAACAGCCTCTCAAATTGTTATAACTTAATTACGAGGACGAAGGATGGTCTTCATTATTGGGATGGCTAATATTTTATGGGCGCTCTTATTCGCCGGAAAGGATTGTTTTTAATTCCTTTTTTTATTTTTTGCGTTTTCTTCGGGCGACGGCTGTTTTAATTGCTTTAATTGCCACTCTCCGAGTTTTTTACTGCATTGTTTTAAATCATCTCCTTATTAGCTACGAATTAGTTCTCGTCCCGGACGTATTTCGGCTAAAGGAATTTTATGGTAACTTTAATTGTTTTCCTAATTATTTGGCGTAGTTGAATTATTGACGTAAGGATGCCGGTCGGGCAGAGCATACCCGTGGCACATAGCAAGCGTTATTTATGAAGTGGCGCGCTAAATCAATTTATACCCCACCTAAAATATTATTAGGTGGCCTAGCATCAGTTTAGTTGTTAGGTTAGGCTACTACTAATAATAATCTAATCACTCATTACGAATAATGGGCATGCTATATCTGCGCTAAAATGGGGGAATATTTATTTTGCTTCCTGACCTAATCCAGGCCAAAAAAGAAAAAAAGTAACAACCGAAATCATTAACAATTAATAAGAAAAAAACCAATTCAATTATTTAATTAAACTTTTCTTATTGTAAAATATAATTAACTACAAAAGCAGCCATTTACTTTAAACTAACAATATGCAAGTAGGTATCTACTAATTTAACTCTCCATCGAATTGAGACAGAGATGTGTTTGGGAGAAGAGGCAGGGTATTATTATTTGAAACACACAGGACGTCAAGGAAATGGTAGGTAATCTCTTGAATTTGCGTAGATCCAAAAGTAGCATCGCAAATTTATATATCTTTTTTATTTGGGTTCACCTTGTAAAATTATTAATTCTTGAACTTGAAATGAAACTCAATTTTTACTATTGGAAATGTTTACGGAATCGGTAGAGTAATGCTGGATGATAGGAAAATATATATTTGTATAGAGATATAAACTTTCAGAGGGTAACAAATGTTCGGTCGTGACCGCTGGGCGCAGGGGAGGTCCGATCGAGGTGATTTTGTTGCCATTATATATGTTGAACCATTTTGCATCCAACAGAAGTAGTTCAGACGTTTCACGGTTATAGGACAATGGGTAAGAAAAGATGCTTAAGTGTGTTATAAATGAAGTTAGCGTGAAAACTCAATTTTCCAAAACATATAGGTATTGCAAAAAATGAAAATTTTGTAAAAATGACGATACAGTATTGTCGATACGTTGATAAGTGTATGCAGTCGAGTGACTGGTGTTTTCATCGGTTTTCGAAGTTATTTTGTGATTTTGTTGGGAAATGGCTGAAATATATACACAAAGATATCATTTTATAATCATGCCATTTATAATAAATGTCATGAAAAAAAATAGTTTTGGGTTTCTCTTACTAAGTGGTCAATTAAATTGTCATGTGTAATATAATTTTTGATTAAAACTCATGTTATTTGAAGCTATTTCTACTAATTCGGAGACCTGAGGGCTAAGGTGGCTTTAACCCCAAAGTGTATTTTTACTTTTGTAAGTGAAAAAGGTTTATTACCGATATAACAAACCGATTTCGAGATAATTGCATTTAATTATAAAGATTTTGACATCTTAATAGCAATATACTCCCGAAAACAGCAATTGGTTCTTTATGTAATAAAATAAATGCATAATGTTACTTGGAATTTCATATTTTTGTATACTTGTTTCGCTGTATACAGGGTGTCCCAGAATAACGTGTACAACGGAAGGCCACAAATTCGTGGACACAAAATATGAAGCTCTAGGCTAATTCACCTATATCCCAAATAGCTTCGCTTGGCCACTATAGGTAGCCTCAATGTTCGTCAAAATTTTTTTGAATTTTGTAAATAACTCGGAATACATTTTGATTATTTTTTGGGTGTTGATTTTTGCTTTCAATCTACACATTTTGGTGTTTGTCAGGTACAATGACTTAAAGATCAGACTGAAATTACAGTCAACCTACAAAATCAGTAAGAACTAGCACTTTGTTAAGTATTGTAATATGGGTGGCAAGATAATGTAGACATTCAAAAAATATTTTTTTGTACCCAAACCACTCATTTAATTAAAATTCTACAAGAGTCCCAAAAACTTCCAAGTGGTATCACCTATCACATTCAAAATAGTTGTCATTATTGCCCGAAAGTTACTAACGGATATTATAACCACACATCAATTTTGTAGGAGTTGTAGGTGTTAAAAACACTATGTATAACACCAAAGTGTGTAATCGAAAGCAAAAATTAACATCCCAAAGATAATCAAAATCGATTAATACGTATTCGAGTTATTTACAAAATTCAAAAAATCTTCACTAAGTTTGAGGCCATCTAGCGGCCAAACGAAGCGATTTCGGATATAGGTGAATTAACCTAAATCTGCCTATTTTGAGTCCACGAATCTGTGGTGTTCCGTTATACATGTTATTCTGGGACACCCTGTATATAACGAATTGTTTGTTTTTTCTTTTATTTATTACTGTTAAGATATGTCGAAAATAATATTATTGTGTCTTGATCTTTACATGAATTCATCTCGAAAACGATTTATTCTGTTTATATCAAGCAAGTGCGTCTTTTTCACTTAAAATCGTAAGACATTCTTCAAAACCACGATGCAAATTCCGCTGAGGGTGCTTTGCTAACAATCACCCCCTCCCCTCCCCTCAAAAAAAATTTATATCTGTCCAGTAAATTGAAAACATTAGTAAAATAGCATCAAATAACACACCCTTTTCAGCTCTCAACTTCAATAGCTAACCACATTGTGTGACCGAATACCTAGAAAGAATTTTTTGTAAATTTGTGAGCCTATTTTTGCAAGTCTTACCTAAATCCGAAAGAGTGCCCACCATTTCCCGGACACCCTATAAGTAAATGTAATCTCTAGCAACATTTTATCGCTTTGTTCTATTTTGCAAAGATGATATCACATTTGGAACACATCTAATTAAGAAAAAAAAACAAACCACCCACTATTTAGAGTGTAACATATAATTAGAAACAACAAACGAAAACAAACTAATGGCATTTGCATGCACCAGCCAAGATTTTCTAGATAATCGCGTTTCTATCCGACATTTTTTTCGCCAATTAGCGTACGGGAACGCCGACCGACCCCGGTAATGAGTTAATAAATATTTAGGGGGCCGCCGTCGCCCCGCAAAAACTGGGCCAGGTAGAATAGCCGCGTCGCTGTCAAAAAACACCGCTCGAACTTCGTCCGGTAGCAGCGTCCATAATTTCAACAAGATATCCGTTAACAAGGACAATAACTCACAATTAAGTGATCATTATATGTAATTGCAACGGCAGTATCAATTCAAAAACGCAGTCGCCGGCCATGGGCGTACCGGGAGATCTTTCGCAAGGGGTGGACTAGTTACCGCGTTATATCAGAGTTTGTCGGTTTCAGGTCTAGGTTGAAAGTGGAAATAATGACCTGATGGAATGCAAAAATAGATCCTTCGATGTTTTTTAAAACTAAACCACAAATATTGCGCAAAATGTAACTTACTGGCGGGTCAAAAGTGAAGGAGCATGTTATACGTCCAAATATAACAATAAATTATACAAAATGTATTGAAACTGGAAAACTATGCTTAAAACGAATATTATTAAAACTTATTGAGAATCTCTGGAATCGTCCCCCAGTTACTAATACTACACTTTTCTGCCCTTTTTTTGTAAAAAATAGAAAAACTGCTAGTTTCCACTTATTACAATTAATGAACACGTTGACAACGCATGGAAACGATATTGAAAATTTCCAAATAGGAATGTACCAATACTATGAACATAAATAAAGGCAGAGCTATTAGTGGAGTCAGTGATTCCAAAAATGTTTTCATCCTATCGATGTGGTAAGTGAGTATTGTTCTAGAAATGTGGACTACAATTGTTGACATATGAATTTGTTAACAACCAACTAAAACTCCCATTTTGGAATTTCTCATACTTTTCCGAACTTTCATTACCAATTGCATAATCAAAGATTAAAGAACATGTTTCTTTATGATCGTAAACAATTTCCGTACCATTTTCAACATCACTTAGCGCTTTCTTAACTTATAGCACTCATTAATCTACTGATTTCTGCAAATGATATGATACTACGTAGCTTTACCGTTAAATTATTTGTATAAACATAATAAAAAAGGCCCTAAATTAGAACCTCGCAGCCCTCCTGAGATTTTAAGGTTTCAACTCCATATTTTACAAATCTGCAAGTTCCAATAACACTTTTTCTTGCCCCCATCATGTCCCGTCCATGGCGAACCTCCTCTTTTTATATCCTGCCCGTCTGTCCCTATTTTCGAACTTTTAACAAGCAATTTGCAAGCCTCATTAGGATCCGCCTCTCTTTTTCTAGCCAACGCGCCAAAACACGTCTGTCCTCGTCCTACGTCCCGCAAAAAATCCAGCCAATAAATCGGTATTCGCAGAATTCGAAAATCGAAGCCATAACAAATAATGGGGGAAATAAAGGGGTTACTGGTGGCGTGTAGCGATATCATAAAAGTTAATTCTGCAATCTGTACTTTTTCAGCGCTTTCGCGTCTCATGTTACACATTTCTACGGTCACTAAACATAAATCTCACGGACTGTCTAGAACACGTAC